ACTACCACCACCACTACCACAACTACCACTACAACGACCACGACCACTACCACTACTACTAGTACTAGTACTACTACTAGCACTACCACTACCACTACCACCACTACTACTACTACTACTACTACTGCTACTACTACTACCACCACTACTACCACCACTACTACTAATACGACGACGGCTACTACTACCACTACTCCTCCTACTGCTCCTGCTCCTGCGGCTCCTGCTCCAGCTCCTGCTCCTGCTGCTGCTGCTGCTGCTGCTGCTGCTGTTACTGCTACCACACTAAGGACGGTGACCACCACAATATTGGCGAGCCGTGTGGTCATGATAGTGTCGAGTGTAGTTTGCTCACAGGTTGTATTCCTGGATGCCTCTCATGACTTTGAAACCGTTCTGGCCTCAAGTCGTGATGGTACTTGGTGTCCTTGCTGAGCCCGCGGGTGTTACAGGCATCGGATTCGGCAAATGGTGCCTCAGGCTCTAGCTTTGCAGGGCCAGTCCAAGTCGCTAAGCAAACACTCTCAACCTGGTATCACCCAGGTTTTTATCTCCGCTCCAGCTAGGATTCCACGCAGTGACGCAGATTGCGAATGTACAGTGCAAGATGCCAAGGTCATGCAAGACATTGACAAATGTCTTCGAATTCCCACCGTGGCATGCTCGGCTCAGATGTCTGAGAACTTCATGAGTTCGTGGCTTCCCGTGCTTGCTTGACCCTTCTCAGGTCAGCCTCATCATCTTCGATGACTACGGAGCAGAAGAGGGGGCGGGGTCTCCTTGAGTCTCTTCTTTCTTCTCCATGTTTCTGACTCTACCTCCCTCTCTCTCTCTCTCTTTTTCGGTCTCCCTGACTCCTCTCTTTCTCTCTCGCTGTGTTCATATGGATCTATATATGATCCCGCGTCCCGGGCTGCTACACCCCCCCCAAGGTATCCCCGCCGTCCCCCAGCTGTCTGAAAGGATCGAGCCTGTTGCGGCCACGATCCTCGCGACGGCCCTCGTTTTCAGAGGATGAGATCGTCACAGCGATGTGAAACTGCCAATCGTCGCTAGGATTGCGACGAGTCGTCCACGATTGCAGCTTCTGCTTGGTGGCATGCTGGAGCAAAGACAACAGTTAGACTTAAGTTTGCAGAGAAGGCCGGTGTTCCTGCCTACCCTAACCCTCCCCGAACACCCAGGGGAGGGGGGATACAAAGAAGCCGAGAGACCAGGAATCCAAGCAAGACCACAGTTACTATGCCACGGCGGGGTGGGGTTGCGGGCATACCATGGGTTGTTATTATATATATATATGTATATATGAGCTTTGATCTAAAGGTCCTTGTACAACACGGATTTGTGATGCAAAACAATGAGTCCGCGAAAGATCTGCGATGGGTCCGCGAAAGGAAAGCAATAATCCGCGCAAGTTTTCATGTAACAGACTTGGGATACATGAGACCCATAGAGTATGCTATCATGCTGTGAGTGTACCCTTTACTGCCCAGTGCCGCAGAACACCCAAAGCCAGGGTTTGAGGCTTGGAAACCATGGACTTGTGTAGGCACTTGCTGCCTCAGCGCTTCTGCGGCCAGGAACAGGCCAAGCTAAACTTGTGAGCAGGTTTTGCCCACAGCAACAAGTGCTGTAAAACCAGCCTCAGCGTCAGAGTGTCGCAGTTTTGGGAAAATCGTTGTAGGTTTTCGGCGAAAGATCTGCGAAAAGTCTGTGAAAGACGCCGCGAAAGACGGCCCAGCTTGTGCAAGGCCATGGCTCGACTGCAACAGCCACCACAATAATCCTCCTTGTTTAACAAGTCACAGACCTACTACTACTGCTACTACGGCTACTGCTGCTGCTACTGCTACTGCTACTACTGCTACTACTGCTACTACTGCTGCTACTGCTGCTGCTACTGCTACTACGGCTACTGCTGCTGCTACTGCTGCTATTGCTACTACCACCACC